CTGCTTGCCCCCCTCCCTGCCCAGGACCGGCCACACCCCTGCTCTCCAGGGCCCCCTCCCAGCATCCCCCTGGCTCCCCCAGTTCTTGCCTTTCCCTGGATCCCTACTAGAGCCAGCGGCCCTCTCCCCGGCCCTACCTGCAGGGCGGTTCTCCAACGTGTTCTGAGAGCTCAGGCCCCCTCTCACCCTCCTGGCTCCCTCTGGGCCGGTCCCCGCCCCCCTTCTCTGTCCCTGGAAGACAACTCAACAGTGGGGGCAGGGCTGGATGCCTCTGCACCACCCCCACCCAGCAGTGCAGGGGCCTGAGACGCAGGGGGCAGGCCAGGCCTCAGAGGGACTGTGTGCCGCTCACGGGAAAGGGCCAGCCACACAGGCTTCCTGGGGAAGCGCTTTCCCCTGATCACCAGCCCGAGCTGGCTGCAGGGGAGACGGAGGCTCTGAGGTCCGTGGGCAGGACAGGGCAGCAGCCAGGCCGCCTGGCGAGCAAGGCCACCCAGACCCTCCTGGGCGCTGGCCATGGTGCTGAAACCCAGAGCCGTGGCTCAGGCCACCAGCCCAGCCCTGCCTGGGCGCTCTCTGCCCCTGGGGAGGTGGGCCGGTTGGAGGAGTCCAGTGAAGGCAGACGCAGGGCGGTGCGCCTGACTGGGGAAGGAAGGGGATCTGTCTGGACCCCAAGGGCCAGCAAAAGAGCTGGGAGGGATCCGGCTGGATGTGAAGAGCAGGGTCTGGTGCTCAGAGGTGCCCAGGCCAGACTCCCGGGAAGGAAGGCAGTGAACGTGCGGGCCTGGTGAGAATGAGGCGGGAGAGCAGCAGGCCAGGGACGGCCACTGAGCAGGCACGCTCCCCCGCCCCCCGCGAAGGGAATACAGCTGCCCTCCGCGAGCCCGGGTGGGGGTGAGGGACGGGCCCCACTTCCACTGGCTTGAGTTGTCTTTTATCCCCCTCTGCACCCCTCCCAGGGACCCCAGAACTGCAGGGCCCTGGTAACAGTGACAACCATAGCACAGCCTCCCTTCCTGCTCCCCACCTCCTTTTTCTTTCTCCTCCTCCTCCTCTCCTCCCCACCCCTGCCCTGTCGGCTTGTGTCCAAACCCTGCTTCCCAGTCCTATCAGAAAGCAACAGTCCAACCAGTGACTGCCCAGCCCCCCA